TATAAATATCTTGACCCCAGGCTTTATAACAGTACTTGAAAAATTTGAATGAAAAATATTACCTGATGTTATCTCCAGTTACCAGATGTTTTGGTATAAATTAGTTAGTGCAGTAACATCTTCACACAGCTGATTGAAGTGTGTATAACTTTATTGTAGCTCAAGTTGTTTAACTCTAAGTATTGTTTGACATTTAAGCACATTTTTAGTTTTATCCTGTATAACATCAACAACTAATAAGAAATGTCAATATGTAAGAATGTAAAAGTAGTTTTTCTCGCACAGAAAGTAGGCTGTGATTGGGTGGTTGATTCCAACGCAGAGGAAGACAAGTGTGGAGTGTGTCATGGCGACGGGAAACTCTGCTCAACTCAGAACGGTTTCTACAATGTCACCCAAGGAGATGGTAAGTTGTCAGTGAAAATCCCAAATACATAATTATTTTATTTGTACCACATAATGTTTATTACTATCCAAAGTGATTCTTAAAGAATCAAACAATGTTATCATACTTTCATACTTTGATTTAGGATTAATACTTTGGATTTGATTTGCTAATAGTTCACAATACAGTAGGGGCCTACAGAGCTTAAAATAAATGTGTTTGTATTGATAAGTTCTTCGAATGCAGCCTATCATTGAATAGATACTACAAGAAGAACTGGTCAATAGGTTGATGTTACTCTGATATTTTCAGGTTACACAGAAGTAGCCATAATTCCTAGCGGAGCCCGAAATGTCCGGGTGGAAGAAGTTTCAAGTTCTCGGAACTACATTTCCATCGGAAGTGCTTCAGGCAGTACCTTCTATCTTAATGGAAACGGGTGAGATCTCATATAGATAAAATATAGATTATAGCTGTGTTATTAAACTTTGAATACTCTATATTTTATAATTTAAAATGCAGTTTAAATCTTGCAAAAAGAATTAAAATAGTTTTATTTAAATATTAAATACATTTTTGTCTAAAATATATTAAATAAAATGTTTAAAGGGTGTTAACTTTAATAATTTCCATTAAAAGGCTGGGTGATTATACTTACGGTATTTTGTAAATGTTCGTTTTCCAAAACTAAACTCTTGTTTTAACAGACCACTTTCTTTGTTAGGGAGATCACCATAGCAGGAGAGTACACTATAGCTGGTAGTGCAGCTCTTTATGAACGCAACAAAGATTTGGAGAAGCTGCGAATACCTGGTCCTATCAAAGAAGATATTTTGATTTATGTAAGTTTCAAGCTAAGCAAAGTATTTCATGTGCAATTTTGTTTCCATAACAAATTTGGCAAACAAAAATTACGTAAGATACTGGAGGTCAACAATGGGATTATCAGAATATTGTTTTAAACAATTACAAATTTTCAGTGGTACAAAACTCTATATTGTTCATTTTTTTAGATCTCTAAAATATATTATCTGATAGTGTAGAGAAGAAAGAAATTGTCTAGTAAAAAACACCAGTTCTGGTAAAAAAGTCAGTATCTGGTTTACTAAAGTTGGTTATGAACAATTACTTAAAACAGCTGCCTTTAGGCTTAGATGAATGTTTGCTGAACTTCTAGGTACTTACGGCAGTCATCAATATTTTGTATACTGTGATTGTTGTGCCAATGATGAAAAAAAGTGAAGGGATTCCTCTTCCAACGATGTTGAATAAAAAATGTTTGAAACATTTATTTGCACTTGAGCTGTATTACTCCTCCTGACCCCTTTATCATTCCTTCCAGGTGATATTCAGGGACCAGAACCCAGGTCTATATTTTGAGTTTACAATGCCCAATGAGCAGCAGGAACACACGGATGTGTACCGTTGGGAGTTGTCTGATTGGTCAACTTGTTCCGCAACTTGTGGCGGAGGAGAGCAAGTGTCTAAGGCTGTCTGCAAGGAGACAGGCAAGGATATGTCCGTGGCCGCAGAGAAATGTGCTTCAGGCCTGAGACCTTCGGACAGAATGCAAACCTGCAACTTGCACTCTTGTCCCACCAGGTATTGTGTCTGAAACATCACATATACACAAATAATGATAGCTGTCAGCATTTTATGTGATCCAGGTTGAACAGCTATCACAGTTCAACTGGAATGAAAACTCTTCTTTGTTGAGGTGGGTAGCTGAGTGGTTATAGTGCTCACATTACAATCAAAAGGTTGACTGATTATCCTGAGAAAAGTCATTGTTTTTGATGATTCAAAACTGTACCCAGCTGTTCCTGATCTTAGGGCTTTAAATAAAGGATCCTGGCTAATGAAACAGCTAATCTTGAGTCAGTAACAAAGCTACACAGATCATCTCACTTCTTTCTCCACTCACATTTGGGTTAATATACGCACATTAGTGGTGTCCCCATCTAAATTGATAATGAACTTCATATTCAATGTCCTTTCTCAATTTTAACCTCTGAATTTTATTGGACTCCATTAAGTCCATTAAGTTGAAGTGTGGTATTCTTGAAAATGTAATTTCAACTTATTACGCTCTTCAGTAAATGTGACAGAAGTAAGGTTAGATGATGAGGTTGTTCATTCAATCAACCATACTTCTTAGGTTGGTGAAACAAATATAATTGTAGTAGCTAGACATTAGAAACGTTGCTACCACTGTTATATTCAAATTTGTTCTATCTTTGACTTAGTCAATGTTCTTACTACTAGCTGTTAAAATCTAATCTGCGTATGTTAATAAAAAGATTTCAGTACGGAAAGGATTTCATCTTATATAGTTGGCTCTGGACTCAAAAGTATTTTACTACCATCATAACATTTTTCTTGAATTATCGGGTTCTTACTCTCGATAAATATTCAAAACTGTTGGACTGAAAATAGATGGCTTTTAGGACTTCTGGTATCGTAATAGAGTTCTTGTGTTGTTATACAATGTGTAAACAGACAATGCTTTACAGATGGTGGATTGGTCCCTGGCAGCTTTGTCCAGTGACTTGTGGAGAGCTTGCTTTACGTCGCAGGTAACATGCTTCATGTGTTTTGGATTTGATATTCTTTTATAACCCAGCTATCTTTAATAAACAAATAACTAAGTTAGTTGGTTGCAATAGTGTATTGTGTTGTAAGTTGACTATCTAGAGAATGAATTTATGAATTTTTTTTTCCAATAACCAACATGAAATTATAAATACACTGCTTTGCAATACTGATATCAAGTCAGAAATGCTTTAGGCATCAATACAACCTTGGCATCATTAAATCTTGTATATATATATATATATATATATATATATATGTAAATACTGTATTTACAAGGGCAGTCTAGAAAGTAACAAACGTTTCGCAATGGCGCCACTTGGGGCAGTGCTATCGCTGAATTCTTTCTTAGTAAAGTCCTACACTCAGTACTATCTAGCAGTAGGGCCAAGCGCATCTTATTTCTTGTACTTTGTCTGCAGTGGAGTATTAAAATTAGCGCTTTCATTGCAAATCCCACCAACAAAAAGCACATAACAAACGTCAGCACTCAGCATAGAGCAGCCACAGCAACAATATACTATATCAAAAGACTTCTATGGATTTTCTAATGTTATGATTAAAAAAAAATGCATCTCCATTTAAAATAGAACCACTACGTTTATAACTTGTTGGTGCAGGATGAAGCAACTGTTGGTTCAGTTTTATTGAACTGTTGTAGGTCTGTGATCTGTGTGTCAGGCAGTGGGGAGAAGCCATTAGCTCTGCCAGACTCTGACTGTACGGGACAGTTACGACCTCATGACCAGGAGCCTTGTCCAGACATCCCCCCTTGTCTTCCTCCCTCCCTGCTGGCTACCATAGGGTGAGGATCTACAAACTTATAGATTTTCTTGATCCATAATTCAACCCGCTGGATCATAGCAGTAATTATAAGCACATCATTGCTACTGCTAATAATAACATCAAACCAAGAGGAGAGCAATATCACTCTGTTAAAAGTCAAGTGAAAGTTATTGATTTTACATTAAAAATTGATAGCACTTGCAATTCAAACAAAAATTTGCCATTGACAATATTTTGTTAGTTACTTTATTTTTTATCTTGTTAACCTATTTGTTTTTACCATTACCCAAATTCAAACACCATCCCAAACCTGTATAACAGTTATGAAAATATAAAATAAATGCTACCCTCTTGCAAATCATTGAAATAGTTTGATTCTGGATCATTACTGAATTCAGCCATATGTCATTGGGCTAATGGATTGGATACTCAACAAAAGGTTAGGTAAATGTTAGAAAATTTCAAGACCAGAATTTGGTTCTTTTCCTTTTGACAAACATAAAAATGGCTCTGAAATTGCACTGCTCAACATAAATGTTGATGTAAAATTAAAGGTATTAACAGGTTATATTTACTATTTCCACAGGCCGTTTGAGAACCTTGTGAATATTGACAGACCAAAGAAGTTTGAAGTGATGCAGTTCAAGAACACCAAGGTACGCTACGAGCCAGACAAGTGGAAAGTACTTCCATGGAGTCAATGTTCCGTCACTTGCGGCATCGGCTTCAAGAAGAGGACTATTCAATGTCCTTCCCAGAAATGTGACCCACGCACTAAACCCATCTCAGTCAAACAATGCTTCCGACATTGCGCCAACAAGACAATAATTGTATAGACCATGTGTAAAAGTTTTGTACAAATACATGTTTCGGATTGTGATTTTAACTTCTTCCCAAATTTTACCTTGAGGAATAATCGAAGCATTGTAGCATCAGTGTTTGTGTCGTGATGAAGTAATGTTTTTTTTTATTTGGACTCGGTAAATTTTAATTAGGTTTCATGTAGCTATTACTGTTAGTGAAGGGAGTTTTCCAAATGAGAGAGCACCTTTTCCAGATAGGTGGATTTGTGGCTAAAGGTATGTTCTCAACTACCAGGTTAGGCTTTTCCTCAGCTAGAATACTTTGGCGATTGTCGGGTTTTTAACCTACTACTCCATCACTTGGTAGTATTATTTACCATTAAATAATTCAAAAAAAGAACAACAAAAATGATAAAAGGTAATAAAAACACCTATTAGGCACTTACAGCGTAGTTTTTAATACTTTTAGTACAATACACTGTTACAAAATTTGATCAGCCTTCCAACCATCATCACATTAGAAATATTAGATTGTGCTTAAAGTAAAAAAAGGTTATATAGCAACAAAGAACAAGAGATCTGGAACTGACCGGCAGAAACAACTTAACATTAATGTTAACTAAATGCAATTTGAAAGAGGTAAAATTAATAAAGCACCGTTCTGTTAATCGTATAAAAAAGAAACATAAATAATCAGTTACAAAATTGTTCCAACAGAGATGCAAAATTGATGTTCACTCTTTCATTGATTCTTCTGTGGGCTGAGCGGATTGTTGAGGAGCTCCGTCTCTGTCTTTCTTCTTTGAGCCCGAGACAATGTCATCGATTCTCAACAGCAAAATGGCAGTCTGTGAAATACAAACAAGTTATGTTTAAAATAATTCAATTTTGAAGTTTTTGATGCTTTGTACATTTGCACTGTAATTGCAAAATAAAGGGCAAATGCTCAAGATCTAGATAGATCCAATTGTTTTTAAGACACACTACACTGCACACATTTTGTTTAAATTATTCAGTATTCACGGACCCACTTTGTATATGTGCTGACTGGACTATAGCCCAGAGCGCAAAGTTTTTAGAGGTACCCAATTTCAAAAAACACATTTTTACATTGTAGATTAGGTACTCTGCTACAAAAAAAACAAAACACAAATATTAATCTGTATTTAACCTCAAAACAGCTTTTAAAAACGTAGTTTTTAGCTTCTTTCATTTCAAACATTTTCCTGGAACAGGGGGTGCCAAAGCTGTTGGCAGCACAGGGTGATATTCATCCTAAAACCGGGCCTGAACATTCATACCAATCCTTGCCAACTGCCTTTTAAGGACATTCTCAATAAAGGTAGATTTAGTATGTTACCGTCCAAAAAAGATGGATAAAAATATAACAATACTATTCTATTCCAAATCAAACCTTTGTAACCACAATTCAAGATTTTTTTTCTTTTAATAAAGTGGTTCATCAAGTTATTACGCCTAAATATTTACTGTTATAATTGCATAACACTGACCTCAACAGCAGTTTTGTAGACCTGCAGCTTGACAGACAGGGGCTCCCAGATGCCCAGTTCCTTCATGTCAACAATGGCTCCTGTCTCTCCGTTGATGCCCCAGGTAGTACCACCTGACCAGACAACAGTTAAGGATAAGCAAGGTAACAAGAACCACAGTAACACAAGTAGGGTCAAGGATTAGAATCGAGTTTCACTGCATCATTCATGGACTGTTTTAGTTTTTTTTTTCACAGTTGACATAATTAACAGCTTAATTCACTGGGCAAATCCACAACACTAGGCCTATCATATTTGATGTATTGTGATTGTCTGATTCTGACAATTTTTAGGGCATATTTTCCATCACTTTAAGATTCCTTGGAGGCTAGCGGCCATCTTGGATGATTTCAAACTCGCTGAATATTTATCGTCCAAAAATATTTTTTCAAACACCAAAGTGTTTAATTTAAATATCTAGTATACTGTGAGATTAGAAATGTTCTTTGTACAGGGTGTTCTTTGTAAAGTCCCTTTACACAATATTGCAGTACGTATTAAAATGTAACAAACACGACTGATTAGCAAATATTCGTTTGTAAGGAGTAAGAAGAGTGGTGAGAGAAGTGAAGAAGTGGGGAAGAGAATAAAGCCTTACTCTCCCTTCCCAACCACTGCCACAGCCCAAGGACGCGGCGACACCCAGTAGAGAGTAAGGGTGGCCTTTGCACGAGTCACCCCAGAAATGCTGAAACGAATGAGCCAACGAACTCGGAGTCGAGTGAAGCTTTGCCGAGACAATGGACGTATGCATGCTGATGTTTTGGTCTAAAAATGTTGTTCACTTGGTGTACTCCACAGAAAATTTCTGATTAAATAGATTTCTATGGATGTAATCAACACTAATTGAATTTACTTTTAGTGTAAAGGGACTTGTCGGCCACCCTGTAGTTTTGAATTGTTCTCCAAGGGAGTCCATGAAAGCAAACGGCCATCTTGGATTTGCCCGCCATAAGAGCAATGCTGATTTTGTTAATTTCAAACAGCCGCTGAAGAGTTATTTACCATCTCAAAATATTTTTTTGAATACCAGAGTGATTGTAATTTAAATATCTAGTTTTCTGTGAGATTAGAAATTTTCTTTGTAGTTCTTTAACTGTTTTACGAGCTAGAACGTCTAGGCTCCAAGGACTCTTAATGGTTCTTGTGAGTTGGTGTGTTGGTAGATGTGGAGAACATGGAAAATCAAGGTTTATTGACAAAATAGTGAAAAGGGGACAGAACACATTTTACACAGGAATCACAAAAAGTGTTTACATTTCAAGCCAACAAATTAGCTTGGTTGATATGTTGAAATTAATGTTTCAAATGTTAAGTGTTATAGCCACTATAACCTTTTTTTTTAGTTAAGCGAGGATTTACTGTAATAAGAACAGGAATAACAGATATTTTAATTTCACTTGCTGCTCAATATTAAATTTGTAAGTTGTTAACTAAAGCTTGTTTATGGGTTCATTTGCATTTATGAATAGAATTCACCGGTAACAGAGACAAAAAGGTATTTAATCCAGTGAGCCTACCAGTGGCATGTTTAGCACGGAGGGCCGTGAGCGTGCGGATGGTGTTTGCGCCACAGTTCTGTGCTAGTGTGCGAGGTATCACTTCCAAGGCATGCGCCACAGTGCGGTACGGCCACTGCGCCACTCCCTCCACAGTCTTGCCCTTCTCTAGCAGAGCCTGTAATATGTATATATATATATATATAATTGCCCATATGTCTACAACAATCTTTACACAAATGAGGAGAAAAATAGAATTAATATTTAATTTAGATTATAACCTGGCAAATGTTTTTAATAAAAATTCAGATTTTCAGTATTTACTTAATATATATTCGCTAATTATCAATACAATAGTTAAAGATTTTTGTTAACAACAAATGCAGAATGTCAAAGCAAATGTAGGTATTAGGTTATACATATATATTTTTTAATACTGGAAATAAAACACATGTACTTGAGTATTAATATGTTAAGAGGCTTAACAATCGGTTGAGGTTTTGCTAGCTTTGCTTGCCTGTAGTACATGATCATAAAATGTCACTCAAGCTCGAGCATATTTGAGTTTTTGGCTGACAAGTGATACCTTGGACACAGCCATCTCCACAGCCCCGCCGCCGGGCACCAGTTTGGGCTCCAGCATGATGTTGCGTGCCACGTGGAGTGCATCCTGCAGGTTGCGCTCCGTCTCGTTGAGCATGTCCTTACTCGCGCCTCGCAACAAGATGGTGCAAGCCTTTGGGTCCTGGCACTCTGTGACGAAGCAGAAGTACTCGTCACCAAGCTGGAAACAAATGTTGTTTTATTTGTTACTATTGCATATTATGTCTCAAACAGGAAAAATCTTCTGAAGCTTGGATTCCAGGACTATTCCTTATAGTTCTGATGAATGTTAAGTACTACACTACATACTTGTATTATTAAAATAATTGAAAAAGATTTACAAAAGAAGACAGAACCGGACAACACCAGCCATTGTGTGTATCCATTGTTACAGCAAGTGCCAGTCATTAAGGACAGTTAGTCATTTAAGGACTAATTTCTTACACCTCAAAGAATGACAAATACCCCCGCCGCAGCAAACCTGCAGACTAAGCAAATTTCCATTTGACTGATTGGATTTACACTGAAATGTCTACTTAAAAATATAACATTCATTCTTGATTTAAATAGAATTAGTTTAACAAGTACTTAGGTTTGCTGCATCAGGGAGGGTAAAACTGTTTTTTTTTGTAAAATGTGAATAGTTAGTAAGAAATAAAAACATTTTCCAAATTTGATCAAAATATGTTCACAAACAAGCAAACTACAACAGTTTACTTATTCTCCATAAAAATAACATGGGAATTTTAAATTAAAAATTTTTTGGAATTTTCTCCGTAACCATTAGGCGCATAATAACGCTTCAATATACTAAATTATTTGTTTTTTTAAGCTCTACAAAATGGTTTGGAAAGAAATTGCTAAATTTTATGTTTTTTGGGTCAAAAATGGGAAAAACATATTTTTACCCCATAAAACCCCCCGTAAACCCCCGTTCCCATGGTCTGATCATGCTGGATTGCGAACTCGTTCGAATAAACGTAGGTTTACACGTTTTTACCAAATTTTTTTTAAAATCGGATCATTTTTGCTCGAGTTATCGTGCTGACGGACACATATATATATATATATATATATATATATATATGTATATGAATTTGAACGGATGGTGTTTTTGGCCTCTAGGGACCTCAAAACGAAAAAAAAATCGGTCCCGCGTCAAGGTCTTACCATGAGTACTACGGTAATAGCTTATTCCCTATATGGGAAATTCGCTAAAAGGAGGATCCTCTAAGAAATAAGAAATATTCACTAGGCTATGAGAAATGCATGTGAAACCTATGACCTACAGTTAACAATTATAAATATAATTCATGAAATATGTTTTTGTTAATTGAATATCAAATAAGAAATGACTAATATTTTACTTTTCAATAAGTTTGAATTCAAACAAAGTGTGCTGGTAGGTAAACTGATATTGAATACCTTTTTGATTTCAAACAATCCAGCTTTGGTGCCGACATCTTCCTCCCTGAGCTCCTCAGTTCGGTTGACGATTGTCGCACCACACGCTCGCGCCAACCTGTTGTTGTCTGACTTACGGACTCTACGAACTGCCGAGATGTTTGCCTACAACAGTCGTAAAACAAATTAAATTAGCATTTTCAGTACTCTATGACTTCTAAGAATGAGAAATAATATCCTTATTGATTGGTGTTAAAAGTTTTGTTAAAGGAAAGGGTATAGGCCAGGATTTTGAATTGTAGAATAAAGAAGATAGCAAGTTCACTTTAGAAGAATTATAGGTTAGACCATAGAAATCACAAGACACATAATACATAGAATATTTAGTCCACTGGGGGACTTTGTCAAGTGTAGAGGAAAGAGAGTTTACACTAGGTCCCCAGGGGACAAAACAAATTCAACAGGATCTCTTGTAATGTTATTAAAAGGAAAATTTATAACACTGTTAACAATTTAGGAAAAAAAGTAACTGATATACAAATTCACAAACGTTTACAGGAGTGGATTTGGTTTTTAAAGTGTGTGTCCTTAGTCTGATGTAAGATTGTTTGCTTAAAAGCCATACATTCTAAAATGTCTACTGTCCATAAACCAAATGATTTTAAAGAAATGAGGTGCAAACCATTATCTTCAAAATAGTGTTTAAAAAACTTAAAAATTCATCCCTGAATTATTCAAGCCTGAAATGCTAATCATAAGACTAGAAAAATACAAATTTAACCTGTTTTTCATACATTTTTCAAAATTTCTAAACTTGATAATAATTGCTTTAGTAGGCCTAAATGGTTTTTAGACAGACACGTTTTAGCCTACTTGCTTGGTTATTATTTTAAAGAATACTAATTTCCACCTCATGATAAGGATACATTTTAGGTCCCAGTATTTTTCAAGCTATGTTTTAATAAAGGGACATATCTGAGGAATTACAACAGTTTCTATATCTACCTTGACCAAGTAATGTTGAGCCAGATCGGAGACTCCCTTTTCTGTGAATACAACATCAGGTTTCAGAGCGATTATATCTGAGCAGACTTTCTCAATGTATTCCTCCTCAAGCTGTAGTATCCTAGTGAAATCTGACTCATTCATTATTTCAATGTTTGTCTGCAAAAAGAGAATGAAATTGCTAAATGTTTGGTACACATTTAAAATACATAATCAGTGTGTCCACCAGGCCAATCAGGTAAAAATCATGAGTAATTCTCATAAGTATTAAGGAATGCAACTAGAACCAATGTCCTTTAAAACAATAGCTGTAAAGTAATTTTTGAACTTCAACATTCCAATTGAACTATTTATAATATTTAAATTTGCTCTAAATTTACCTGGCTTTCGCCCTTTTTGTACTCCAAGGTACAGTCTAATAAAAGGATCCGAGGATTTTTTATGTGCCGTCGCATCTTCGGGTGGGTGACATCTTTGTTGATCATGACACCATTGAGGACTTCTGACTCCTCTATGCTTCCACCAGGGATCTATGAAAAAAAAATAGATATGCTTGTAATTACTGCAATTCTGTGGATCTACTTGGTTAGTGAGAGTAGGTAAACAATAACAGTCTTTTATGGCAAGTAAAAGCTCTATGAAAAATATGGTAAAAACAAGATTGTCTCATAGAATGATGTGTGAAAAATGTGCAGTAGCCAAATGCAGTACAATATTTATAAAAACTGCCTTCGCAACATATGTAACAAAAAAGCTAATGTGGCATCTGTTGCTTGGTATTAACATAGATATTTTAAAATTAAGTCCAAATGAAAACTTACCTACTATACAGTAATAAAGGCCTATACATGTATACTATAACGGAGTAGCCTAGTCTTATGTAGAAGCATCTACATTTTTACTATTAGGCTATAGCCTATGCATACATTTTTATTAAGCAGCATTTTATATATCCATTAGTGTTTAAATGCTTTTATTTTACTTTGAGTTCAATTCTAAATAACTTTTGTAGTTATAATAAATCTGAATAGGCCTACCGGTACTCTAAAGTTTTAGCCTACTTTTCCACAGCTTAAACTTAACTCACTACTAACTGTAATTAATTCAAACAAGAACACCATTTCAGTTTTGCTTTACTTTTTCAACTCGAGCGTATCGCTTGATGTCAATCTCACGTCGACCATTCTCCTCCAACATGACAGTTTTGACAGCGTCTAATGCAATTTTACATGCCATATCTGCCCAGCGTCCGATAAACTTGGTGCCGACACATGACTTGACTACTTCTGCCAGCTTCTCCTTGTTGTTCACATCCAATGGCACACTATGAAACATAATCATTAACTGCATTTGTGATATGAAAAAGAATCGTAAATTAACAGATTATCAACAACGGTTTTTTAATTTTACCGTACAACTAAGTAAGTATACAATTAAGTACCGTGTGTATAATTTTGTCTGGAAAAGTCAACCGAGCAGTGCATAAGTTACCTGTGGCCACAGTAGTAGTCAAACTATTTATTTTTTTTGCTTTGTCTAAGGAGCGGTTCGAGAGCTCGGGACTTAATAGTCCGCGACCAGACGTTGGTCCCGGACTATATAAGCGACGACGACAGAGACAGAGCGTAGGCCTAATGATGTAAAAGCCGGGCTTATTATTGGTCGAGACAAAATCAAAAAAGAGCCTAATGGCAGGGAAGGAGTCGTTGGTAACAACAGTCAGGAAACACATGTTAAGCCACTGCTCCTGACTTACGCACTTCCATACAATAGGGTCATCGTAAAAAAGTTAGGAACCAAAACGTTTATTATTCATGTATTTTATTGTCTCAAAGCTCGCCTATAGTAATCCATCAACTTTTATTGATTTATAAAAACAACAAGCCACATTTGTATGAATTCAGATAGTTGAAGTCTGTAACGAAATAGATTTATCCGTGTGCATCATTGTAATTCAATTTAGATATGCGTGATATAAAATAACCAGGTATTTATAATCAGATGAATGCTTATTTTTCATAAATGCCCAATAATTTAGGATGGTTTTTTTATAGGCTAATTTTGACTAAACCTATTTTAATGGTAAAATTGGAAGATATATAAGAATTGAAACTAAAATGTATTTTGAGCTACCGGTACTGACTATTTAGATAAAAAAAATCGCATGTACATGTGCTATGCTTTAATCAGGGAAAATTGTGGTTGTAATTTAAGAATATTCTTTCCGTTATCCTTACACCCTTTAATAATCTACTGAAAAATGTTAAAAACAATAATATTCTGTAGTTCACTCCTAATATTATTTATCTAAACAGCTATGGGTTTTTATTTACATTTTGTGTTGTTGCGATATTTTAAATCACTTTCATTGGTATTACAACACGTCCGTATTTAGGAAAAACGTTGTTTTTATAATTGTGGCATAGCTTCAACTTAGAAATTTTATGTATTCTGCTTTCATTACCAAACAAATAGCTACCATCCAAGCTTTACTTACATCTAATAAATCACCAGTTTCTCGATGAAAAGTGCCATCAGCCAAAAATCTTAGTGCAACTAACACTTTTTTTAAATTTGGAATATGTACTGTAATGGACTCTGTTGTCGGGAAATCCGTGCCTTGGAGTGAACGCCTCAAATGACTCATTGACGGCATCTTTGAAAAATTTAAATCTATCCTTTAAGTCATAAAAGGGTTGTAGTCATGATAACGAGCTGGGGACTATTTCATAATAAACTACAAACTAATATTATTAGTAAATCAGCTGATTGCCAAATGCAAATCTAATGGAAATGACAAATTACAAGTGACAGCTTGTAACTTATAGTTTATTATGAAACGGGCCCCTGGTCGTATGTGAGGTAGTAATGATACGTAGTAGTCAACATGGATTAGATGGATTAAAACTGGAATTTCTTGCTTAAAATTTCCAAGAGTTTGGGGTTGTAAACTAATTTTGTTTTCGCAAGAACAGTAGGCCTACGGTAATTTAGTTTAAAATAAAAACATGAAAACTAAGATTTTTTTTAAAACTAAGTTACCGGTACTGTACTTGCCAAAACAAAAATGGTTCACAAACCCAAACTCTTGGACATTTTAAGCAAGAAATTCTAGTTTCAAGCGATTAGTTAATCCAAGAAGTTATAGGCCTAGCCTATAGCCATCTTAAATCCCCGCAGTCAATAAAAAAGCAGACAGTTAAAATAAACTAGACTTGGACCATCAGATGCAGTTGGATATTTCTAACCTGACCTGAGTATACCTTACCTGACTTTATCCTTCAAGATCTCCACCATATCCTCCAATGCCTGTCTGTAGGCCTTTATGATCACTGTTGGATGCATATTCTGCTCCAAAAACTGTTCAGCCACTCCTAACATCTCACCGGCTAGAACAATGACTGATGTTGTTCCATCTCCAACCTAAAGAAACAGTGTGTTGATAACAGAGGATATTTTAGGGACAAGCTAAAATCCCCATCCGAGGGGTTCGTACAATAAATTGATTTTATCAGAGTTTTCCATCACAGTCAGTGACAAGACAATAAAGATTGTAGGCCTACAAAACAAACATTGTAGCCTACCGTAGTGTTAGTTTTGTTTTAAATCTTATAAGGTGTTGTGATGTAGTAGTGAATTTCCCCAATGATAAGGAGGAAGCTATTACCATGGGTTTAACCAATAGTCTGGAGCACTACAGAAAAGTAACTAGCCTAAACCAGTTAGAAAAAGACGGAGTACAGTACATTAACATTTTCTTTGTTGTATTTTATGAACACCCTATAGAGCTATAAAAAAAAACAAATTAGCTTAAAATAGATATTTTTCAGCACATTCATTAACTAGCCTATCCATTGATGCAAAAATGTCCACAGGAAGGGTCAATAATAAATGTAACAAAATGGGAAAAGTATAGTACCGTACTATTACTATTAAATATTAGGCAATGAATACCAACCTCTTCATCTTGAGTCCTTGCAATCTCAATCATGGACTTCCCAGCAGGATGTTGTACTGTGATCTCTCTCAGGATAGCATTTCCATCGTTGGTCATTACGATTCCTCCCATTGGGTCCATTAACATCTTTAACATTGCTTGTGGCCCCAAACATGTTCGAATCACATCTGCGATAGCCTAGGAAGTGAAAAACAATGTGAACAAACCTTCATTGAATCTTCAAGTGGAATAGACAGTCTAATTTGTGTCTCGTGAGATGTGACTTGACCATTCATGAATAGGCCCAATAAGTTTAATGCTTTAACTTATCAAGTGTGAAAGAGTAGAGCCAAAGTTATCATACTGGTTTGGAACACTGCCCTTTACAATGCTTGGGGAGGTAAATTTTAGTTGGGAAAACAGGCCTCTCATTTCTTAGCTTGTATATTTACCCAGTACCGGTACTACGGGTACAGTTCTGCAGAGAATCTGCAATGTTACAAGTTAGCTGGTTACATGATAGATTAAATGTCGATAAAGGCAATTATTATATAGTACGATACCCATATCGCTTTAACCCTCTGAGTGTCATGCGTCGCTGCAGCGACGCGTAACACACTTTGTGTAGTGTCATGTGTTGTTGCAGCAACTCACGAACACTGTTTATGGCGAAGGCTCTATGACTGACAAAATCGGATTGAACTGGATCGAGTTTGGTATCGTTCTTTTCATTATATTCTAAGCTTTCTCCAGAGGTCTGTCTCTAAGCGCTTTATGTTCTCCGAGCCGATCGTAATTGTAGCAGACAGCTGACGTGCGTATTTGTAAACAGGTTAGTTAACCTCGGACCGATGACTGGAATGTGTTTTATTATGTTTATCATTGTTTTAGTGTTAAAAATTAAAAGTAGTGATATACGTGGTGCATTATAAGAAGATTTAAGTGATTTTGAAGGGCTGGTTGATGATCCTGAAGAAGTAGGTAGTGATATTGATGTAAATTATCAGCCAGATTCCTAGCTATGGTTAGGCTATGCATTCTTAGCTAAACGCTATGTACTGAAATCTGTTTTTTGCCCATAACTTATTTATTTGCAAATCTACTTCCTTATATTATTATATATTTGTAATCCTCATAAAATTTAGAACAAAGTGGCTATTTTCAAATATTTATAGGCCTATAATTTATACAATTTCATTGAGCGCGAACTTATTTTTTTTTTCAATTTTTCCAAAATAATTTTTATTTTTACCTAAAATTTTTTTTTTGAAACAAATATTCCTTAGGTTTTATGTATGATATTGAAGCCCATGATTTTCCAAACAAAATGGTATATAGAACAGTAGAATTAACATTGTTTTAAGCTTTTCAGATCCGTTTTAATAAAACCTTGCAAATGCGCCAAAAATAGGCGGACATTAAGGCCTAAACTATGGACACTCGGAGGGTTAAATAATGTTTCTCAATTTACATCAAATTGAGTTATGTTTATAAAACACTTATTTAATTACGTTTTATTAGTGTTTATTAGCCTAGGTATGTGTAAAAATCAAATTGAGTACCGGTAACTTAACCCTCCGAGTGTTATGTGTCGTAAAAGCGACTCATAACACATCCGCTGTAGTGTTATGTGTCGCTTTTGTGACTCACAAACACTGTTTACGGCGACGGCTCTGGGACTGACTGAATCGGATTGAACTGGATCAAGATAGGTATCGTTTTTTCAGCAGGTTCAGAGCTTTCTCCTGATGTATGTTTCTATACGCTTTTCATTTTAGTTAAAAAAATATTGTAGCAGAAAGCTGAGGTGCGTATTTGTAAACAGCTTGGTTAACCTCGCACCGATGACTGATGAGTTTTATTACGTTTATCATTGTTTTAGTGTTGAAAATCAAAAGTAGTGATATACGTCGTGCAATATAAGATTTAAGTGATTTTGAAGGGCTGGTTGATGATCCTGAAGAAGTAGGTGGTAGTGATATTGATGTAAATTATCAGCCAGATTCCTAGCTATGGTTAGGCTATGCATTCTTAGCTAAACGCTATGTACCGAAATCTGTTTTTTGCCCATAACTTATTTATTTGCAAACCTACTTCCTTATATTATTATATTTTTGGAATCCTCATAAAATTCTGAACAAAGTGGCTATTTTAAAATATTTGTAGACCTATAAATTATAACAATTTATTGAGCGCAAACATAAATTTTTTTCATTTATTTTATAATTTTTGAAAAATGTTAACCCCACAAAAATTGTTGAACATTTTTTTTTGTAATGTTTTATATGTTACATTTAAGCCCATAATTTTCCAAAAAAAAATGATATATAAAACTGTAATGTCTTGGATTACGCTTTGTAAATTTTATTTATCAGCTGACTTTAAAATAAGTGTGTTTAGGCCTACTATTTTTGTTTTGTATTGTTTTTATGATGCTGAGCTAAATACAATGGTTTTTTAATGTTCCTGAGTTTTTATATTTTATTAGTGATTTTACATTGTGACCAAAACCAGACCAAAACTAGAGACACTTGGAGGGTTAATGGTCTATTTATGTTTTTATTGATGTTTAATACTACCGTACTTAAGTTAAAGAAACTAACGTTTTAAAAGCAAACAATAACTTATTAAGTAATTTACTTATCTACGCTAATTTACAACACTTCCCCATCATCCCCCACGCCTTCCCACCACCACGTGACTATCTCGGGCACGTGACTATCTCGAGAGGGACTGACCTCGTGTTATCTCAAATGGTGATCAAATTGTTTCCGACAAAATCAAAGTAAAAGTGTGCTAATATCTGATGTAAACTTTTGATTTTATCTTAGCCTAGGAACAAGTGTTAGGTATTTTACCAACAAAAAGTTCCTAACATTTTGTTCCCAATCTGGTGTAAACGCAGCTTTACCGACTTCTGGTGGGAAACAACATTTCTGTTGTAAACATTGTAAACTGTTTCAAAAATCAAAATGTTTTTGTTCAAAAAGTACTTAGCCTAGTGTTTCTTAGTTTTTAGGAACCCATTAAGTTTAACTTAGGCCTAGTTGTAAGTTAAACATGTGCTCCTAACTGGTGTAAACGCGGCTTTAGATGTAATAGATCTTAATTTAGGTTAGACTTATTTAAATGTTAATATAAGTTATAGGTTTTTGTATTAACAAAAGTTAACTTAGTGAGTAAATAGGCTAGGACTAACTAAGTTCCTTAAGTGAATTAATTAAACATAGGCCCAGAACCATTCCCAAAAGTTGGGGTATAATGTAAGCTAGTTTTCAGAAGATTTATCTGTATGAAAATAAAGCCAATACATTAGTAAACCTAAAACTTACTTTTCCGGCAGCAATGTTCTCCACCTGAACCTTTCTACCAGATTCTCTTTTTGTATTTTGACCTGTAACAAAAGTGAAATAATAAATAACGTATAATAGATGGTAAAAATGGTTAAGATAACTTTACTTTATTATAATACTTACTTAAAACCAAAATTGGAGCTGAACCGCCGAACATTTTTGCAAGTTTAACCAATTGACAATTCTATGGATTACAGAAAGCACGAGACAAGAGAAACTTTGGTTAGAGAGTTGAGCAGAAGGGGGCGAGACAAAAAAGTAGGCAGCTCGCTAAAGAGGGAGAGCCCATCGAAAAATTCTAGCTTTACATTTAAACACGGGTTTAGACAATTGATTATATATTGATATAGATATAGTTATATAGTTATTGATATACATATAGGTTGATTACATGATGGTTGTATATTTATGATTTTAAGTTAAATAGGATCGTGGCAAAATAAATATTTTAGCTTTGGACTGATAATAATTGTATTTGCACTTATACATCTATATTTATAAAAGAGGAAGTTTGTATATATTTGAACGTTATGGACTCCGAAACCGCTCGACAGATTGAAAAATGAAACTTTCAGGCATCATTAAGCATTATTCAAGGATGGTTTGTGTATAGTTTGGTACAGATCCGTCAAAACAAAAGGGCTCCGCCCCAGTGGTTCTGGAGTTTCCCATGTTAACCTTATGAGTACTTATATTTAAATGGAATTAAAGAATCTTAACAGCTGGTTCAACTAAACAATTTGATTCTGTGATGTTCAATAGTATTAAAAAGTGAATATGTTTACCAACAGGGTGCAGCACAATTATTTGTATATATTTATGCAACAGCTAACTTGCAACCAAAAGGTGAGTGAGCGTAGCGAACGAACTTCAACCTGGAGGCGAGATAGCGTAGCGAACGAGCTCCAACATAAAGGTGAGTAAGCGAAGCAAGCTAACTTCAACCAGGACGTGATAGCGCGATGCGACCAAGCTCATCTTGAAAATGAACGAGCATTTGACATAAAACCACATTAGGACAGGACGACGTCTGTCGGCCCAACTTGTGTAATATTAACAGGCTTTAGACTTTACAATAAATTGCAATTTATAAATGAGAGTTCTAACTCCTTTACGGTATTTAAAGTCAGTGAGCTTTAATCCCAGGCCGCAGCCTTCGAAGTAGCAACGTTGCAAGTAGGGTTGTAACAGCTGTTTTGTTTGGAAGCAGCTAATGGTATTTGTGTAATTACGAAAGCTTGGTTACTGGATTATGAAAATATTGATCCTGCTTAAAATGTAGGCTACAGATATGGATTTTCAATTCATCCTGTTTTAGTTTTTAAAGTCTGTATTGTTTATTTTCAATATTTTAATAAATTTATGTTCATAAATTTAAATCAATGAAGTGTGATCAATGAGCTGAAGTCACCTGTCTGGTTATTGGACGTCTGACACTAAACAACCCTACTTGCGACGTTGCCAATTCTACCAGGCCACGGTCTGGAGTTAAAGGGGCCCGTGGTTTAAAGACAGCCATCTGCGTGAAAAAAATCTGTGTCGTTTTAAATCTTCACAAATAAATAAAGAATGTAGCGTTATACACTACTGTACCAAACAAAGAAGGATGGATTTTCCCTACTCCTAGAACCTTTTGCACTTGTTTGCTTTTTATAAAAATGTCCCGTAAGGTGATGACTCTTCTACTAAACGGCCACCTTTAACTCCAGACCGCGGCCTGGTAGAATTGGCAACGTTGCAAGTAGTGTTGTCTAGTGCCAGACATCCCATGATAACATTGCAGACATGTGACACCAGCTCGTTAATCTATCATTCATTTAAATTTGCATTTAAGAACACAAATTTGTTAATAAAACACATAGAATTGAAAACCAAAACAGTATTTAAATTGAAAATCCATTGTTGTACATTTAAAGTAGAGTCAATATTTTCTTAGCCCAGTAACCTAGCTTTTGTATTCTTAAAAATACACAAATGCCATTGGTTGCATCCATCGATCTCTATTATAACTGTTGCATCCCCCTCCACCATGGTTGCATCCAAACAAAACAGCTGTTACAACACTACTTGCGATGTTGCTACATTGAAGGCCACGGTCTGGTAGAATTGGCAACGTTGCAAGTGGTCTAGCACCAGACGGCACGATTTTTATTTCAGCTGCAGTTTTTTAATACGGACAAAATAAGAGTTAAAAATTAGAAATTAAAAAAAAATATATTATAGGCCTAAAACTAAAAAAAATATATAATTAATTTTTTAATTAAACTGTCATAATCTAACCTAACTAACCTAACTTGCTGATAATGAAAAAATTGAATAATGGTTTACTAAAAGAAAAAATAGTTCTGTTCATAAAATAAAACTATAAACGCCTCAAATTAAATTTTATATTTTTTAATTTTTTAAAATTTAACTGTCATAACCTAACCAAACTAACCAAACTTGCTGATAATGAAAAAATCGAATGAAGGTTTACTAATGGAAAAATAGTTCTGTTCATAAAATAAAACTATAAATAGCTCAAATTCAATTTTATAAGGTTTTAATTATAAAATTTAACTGCTATAACCTAACAAAACTAACCAAACTTGCTGATAATGCAAAAATCTTAGACAAAAAGTTTGTGCACCCAATGGGTTTCGAACTCAGTACCACAAGTTTATTAGTCCGGCACGCTATCCACTAGACCACCGAGGCCGATGGCTTCAACCCGTTTCATTGCGCTAATGGTGTTCCCTCAGCCAATAGGATGCTCTCATTTTGTTCTTATTAAAATAACTGCAGCTGAAATAAAAATTGTGCCACCAGACGTCCCATAACATGGCAGACAGGGGACACCAGCCACCAGCTCATTGATTTGCATATTATTTGTTGAAATTTAAATGTATGAACACAAACACATTAAAAAGATTGAAAATAAAACGTATAGAATTGAAAACCAAAACAATATTTTAATTGAAAATCTATTTTTGTATATTTAAATTGGAGTAAATATTTTTGTAGTCGAAGGCTTTCTCAAGATCTATTGGATGAATGACACCTAAAGAAAATTAAAAATATTTTAATCTAAATTTTATAAACACTTCTGTGAATAATTACATCATTGAACCAGAAATAAATGCTGAAATAGTTATTTGTGTAACTAGTGGTGAAAGTGGCACTTTGCTGCACACGAGAGCAATGTTTACGCACGAGCCGCAGGCGAGTGCGGAATGATCTCGAGTGCAGCAAAGGCCTTTTCCACTCGTGTTACACATTATATTTTTCCTACAGTCACTATAAAACATAAATAATTAGTCTTTCAAACACTATACAACACGTTTTTAGGTTCAGCTAGCAACACAATTACACAAATGGTGCCCTGGAGAAAGTAGTACCCGTGGTCCGTATCACTCCGCTATTTTTCCTCGGCAAGAAATGTGCTCCGTCTTTTGAGAATATAGTTCCGTATGTTTTTGTAATTTGAAGTGGTTTCCGCGCCTAAAAAAAAATGCTTTAAAGGTATTTTCTTGTTTAGTAAGACCGTAGGAATGTTTTAAAAACGTTTAAAAGAAAAGTCCAGAAAGTTCAGAAATACCAAAACTATAAACACGAAATGACAGGTTAAATCGTAGTTATAATAGTCAATCAGCTGTTCATAGTATTATTATCTTTAAGTGTTGCCAACCTATTTCCAAGCGTACACGGATTACGTGCATAATAAAACCACGCTGTTTTGTGTTGTTTGGTTGGAATCCTGATGTGCGGCAAAGTATAAACCGTGCGGCAAAGTATAAACCGTACGGCAAAGTATAAATATGCAGCAATTAGCAGCTTTCTGTACTATAAACAGTACAGGGAAGCCAACTTTGTCGGGTGACTGTAGGAAAAAAATATTTTCATAGCCCAGTAACCAAGCTTTCATATTATTAAAAAATACAGAAATAAAATTAGCTGCCTCCAAAACAAAACAGCTGTTACAACCCTACTTGCGATGTTGACAATTCGAAGGCCGCGGCCTGGGATTAAAGGCGGCCGTGGAGTTAAGTTAGAAAAATGCCTATATTCTGTGGTTAAAGGCGGCCATGTCGTAGCTCTATGAGAGTTGAGTGAGAGCACAGACAATAGAATAAACCATTAAAGTATTATATTGTCTGTGGTGAGAGTGTCCAACAGAAACTGTAAAATACACGAGTGCTAAGTTTGGTTGTTATTTTATTAAAAAACTATTTTATTAAATAACTAATAATAAATGACTATTGTTATTTATTTATTAGTTATACATTAAAGAGTAACGTTAATATTTAAAGATAAATCTCCCATCCTTGGGAGAAATATAATCAATGATATTACCATGAAATATTGTCCTGATCACCATCACTGTCCACAGATGTATAAGAAAAAGGAAAATTGCATCATACAACAATCACAGAGATTTTCGGTGTCCAATGTCAAAAATTGTGATTGTTAGGTTAGGATTGAGGTTATGTAAAAAACGAAGTTGTTGGTTTGGGAACACATAAGTTTAAGTTAATCACTTATACGGTCAGAAGTTGGGAGGAAAGCTGTTGTAACCATAAAATAGAGCTTATATCCTACCAACATGTATATAATTAATTTTGCACAAAGGAGTTCTGTCATGTTTGCTAGGCATGTAGTAAAAAATGGTAAGCTAGACAATAGTGTACTTTTCAAACTTAAAGACAAAAATCACTCTCATTTACATTCTAGATGTTTATCTAGCTTATGTGGGTACAGAACTGAATATTCTCCGGTTGGTTGTTTAACATCAAGTCATAGATATTATGTTAATAGTTTTCAAACACAGATTTGCTCAAGACACATAAGATCTTTTAGCCAGAAATCAAGCTCAAATGATGATGATGATGATCCTAAATCGCCAGATGATGGTTCTGCTTCAGAAGATTACATAGTCCATCAAGCACTACCAGCCACTGTTGTTGTGCCAGAGGTTTGGCCTCATGTTCCTCTAATAGCAGTCAACAGGAATCCTCTTTTCCCACGCTTCATAAAGCTCATCGATGTAAGTAGCCTAAAATGAGAAACTTATTTTAGATTATGAGTGCCTTCTAACTTTCTAGTATCTTGGTAAACATTTTTTTGGCCTAAGTTACTTAACCAGATGCTGAAGTAGGTTGTTAACAATTCTTAAACTCTATAAATTGTAAGGGTTGTCATAAACTTCACAGTACCTACCTACCGGTACCACATTAGTATTAATAACGTTTCAAAAACGT